GAAAAGATATTAAGAATACTCCGAGATAGCCCTTGAAGAAATATGAACACTACCCTTGGATAGGTCTTGAAGATTCATAGAGACTGTCCCTAGATAGCGCTTGAGCAAATGTGGAGAGTACCCTAGACAACCCTTAAAGAGTTATAGAGAGTACCGTTAAATATGCCTTGAACTATATAAGTACATTAAAGTAGTTTAAAGTACATTAAAGTACTTCAAAGTACTTCAAAGTACCTTGAAGTACTTCAAAGTACTTTAAAGTACACTAAAGTACTTCAAAGTACTTTAAAGTACACTAAAGTACTTCAAAGTACTTTAAAGTACACTAAAGTACTTCAAAGTACTTTAAAGTACATTAAAGTACTTCAAAGTACTTTAAAGTACATTAAAGTACTTCAAAGTACTTTAAAGTACCTCAAAGTACTTTAAAGTACCTCAAAGTACCTCAAAGTACTTTAAAGTACAAAGTACGGTGTTTCCCCCTTGCCATTACCACTACTAGTTTTGCGTTTAATAGTTCATCTGAAGGTGACTTTGAAATAAAGTCGAAAATTCATGAATTTTTATAATAGGTGTACTTTTCTTCATTTCTAATGAATGAAAGAATATGTCAGCGTCCAATTTCGGATTGCGTCCGATCTTAGATTCGCCTAGGCGAATGTCAGATCCGATTTTGGACGGACGTTTATTCAGGCCATTCTCAGATTCGCCTAGACCAATCCAGGATAAAAGATTAGGTATATTATAGTCTATATGAAGTTATTGCATCTTTCCATAGAATGTATCAAGTAAAATCTGCACTACAAAGATTGTGAATAAGATTGAACTGCATTTCATACTAAAATAAAATTCGAAAAAGAAGAAAGTTCATTTTTATCTTCATGGTAATTACTGTTTTCCGTTATCATGAAGGGTATGAGTGTAGGTATTCTTTCCTTATACATTCACACACATCCAGGCCCACAACCAAATCCGCACCAACTCACCCATCCACATACTCTACCCAGACCTACACCGCACACCCACATCACCCAGATCCACACCCCATCCAGACCAACACTCCACACTCACCTCATCCAGACCAACACCCCACGCCCACGCCGACCCCACCCATATTCACATCAAAACCCAAGTACACAATGTCAAGAAACTGATAGCAGATACAGAATTCTTCGGTTCCCGAATGCCTCGATAATAAAATCGTTCGTCGACAACTTACCGTGGAAGTTATTTAGTTGACAGATATTTTGCCGAAAAAATCTTTGTGAAGAAGTACTAATTTTCTAAAACGCCAGCCTAGTTTTTCTTTAGTTCCTCAATAAAAAGGATGCAACAAATCTAAAACACATTAGGAATGCAGGACCAGCGACTTTGGGATTTTATTTGGATTTGAACTAAGCGTTCTTGGAGTTGTATTTGGAGGGTGTATGTGTGTGTGGGGGGTCAGAGTAGGTGAGTGTGAATGGAAGCCATACTAAAACCCACACCCATACCTAACCTAGCTTTCACATAGATCTTTTCTGAAGTGAAATTAGAGTGCGCTTGTGATACGAGTCATTAGTTGTTCGTCGGTATTACTTACGGCCATTGGCTTCATTTGAGTGGGTGTGAGCGTGGGTGCGGGTGTGGGGTGTGGGTAGGTGCGTGTGGATAGAAGCCATACTAAAACTCACACCCACACCCAGACCCACACCCACCCACCCAAACCCCACATTCACACCTACACTCCACACCCACACCCATACTCCACATCACACACACCCACCCACACCGACACCCCACACCCACAGCCGCCCCATCCACACCCACACCCGTATTGAGAGAAGAGTATTGCTGTCTGATACCTAATAGCCATTTAGGCATGTATCAGTATGCAGTCAGTGAGCTGCAAAAAAATGATCTTATCTCAATAGTAGTTTTATTGGTTTTGGCTAATCTAACTAAACTGAGTAAAAAAAAAATGAAATACTGCTGCAGTATTTAAGCTAATACTATTTAACTGGACTACTCGACTACTGGAAGTGACGCACACTAGATTGAGCTCGAATGAGCCCCAGTTGATCTGCATAGGTTCGAGCTCGGTACAAGCTTTGTTCTTCCGACGCAGCGTTTTTCTGCAAAGGTCAATCATATAACATTAGGTTTTGATACAGAGCAAGAAATTCTTATAGATGGTATGGGTGTGGGATAAATGATGAAGAAAAGTGATCCACCCACACCTCAAACTCACATCCGCTTTTGAGGCGATAGGATCCGTAATCGCAAAAATTCTCATGGAATTGTCAATGGTTGGCACATTGAAATTCGGCGAGGGAGATGCATAAACTCGAAAGAGGGAGGTCTCAGAGACTGACTAAGCCCATCGATCTACTCTAATTCTAGTCTAATTACTGATTGCAGGCAAATGGGGATCCATAATCGTACATGCTTTGATCGGGTGGACACTGTATAATCACTAGCTGATCATATCATGACAGAATTGTCTTCGGTATTTCAAATCAATATATCATTGGCAATTTCTAGCGTTCAGGCGAACAACATCACAAATATTGAGTAGAGACTCTCATTTCGCCGTTTGTAACACGGTGTGGTGCTGCCCAACCCAGTGAACCATTTAGAACTTGTAGGCTACTGGCAAGCTTTCGGATATTTTGCATGATTTTTCGGTGAAATTTGACAACAATTTTCGTTTCAAGCTTCAATCATCAACACTATCGCTACCTTCTTTCAACTGTCTCACAAGTTTGCTGCTGAGTGTTTTAAGCAAACACGAAGTTGCTCTTTCTGATTAACCAAGCATTGTGGAATAGATTTCAACGACTTTACAAGCCCTAGGCAATATGTAAAGCACGTCAGTCTAACCTTTCAACAGGTGAAACACTATCTTATTGAGTTTGATTACACGTGGATCAGCCTACATATCCATGAGGAGATTTTACTAGAATGTAAGCTGCTTCGTCACATCACTTTCTCCTACCTGGAATGCGATGCTTTGCTCAGAAATATACAACACCGATATTTTTGATAGTAAGTGATGATAAATATTATTGTCGACAATAATTTCAGCAATCTACTAAACACTATAATCACACCAGAATTTTTTAATGTGGCTGAAGATTTAGCAGCTTTAGCAACTTGCGAGCACTCAGTTATAATGGCAAGAACATTCGGTTGGTGGACAGCTTTTCTCGCTAATGGTAATGTGAACCGTGATGTGTTTGCATAGAACCAAAGTCTACCTGAATTGTGCCTGCTCGAAAGAGTAATTCTATCCGCCATGGTTTATTTTCTCAAGCACTAATGAAAGTACTATCCGAACCACATGATAACAAGAATGTTACTCTTAAGCGATAATTGCTCTTGAATGACACTCGTTCCTACAATACGTGTATGGGTGCTAGTGTAGAGTGGGTATGGGGTGTGAGTATGGATGTGGTTGTGGGTGTGAATGTGAGTGTGAGTATGACTCTTTTATTCCCTAATATTCAGACACCCACATCCACAGACAACGCCCACATATCCACACCCCGCATCCACATTCGCACCCACATAATCACCCACGCCTGCATTCATACACTTACACCTACACCCACACCCCACACTCACACGTACACCGACACACCTATGCCCACACCTCATCCACATGCACACCCCAACAACACCCACACACCCACAACAACAGCCACACCCACCCACACGCTAACAACACCTACACACCCACACCAACAGCCACAGCCACAGCCACCCACACCCTAACAACACTCACATACCTATACCCCGCTCACAGCCACAGACCCATAGTCACACCCTGTCCACGGCCACACCCCATGGTGGTATCACTCGATCGCCGATGCAATGGAGTGACTGATTTCCTTCTTTATTCACTCTTAAGATGGAAGCGCCATGGATAATGAGCCTGATAATTGTTTCGAACAAAGTCATTATCAATTTAATAAGCATGCATATAGTTTCCAGCGCACATTGTGCCGTTTTTTCTAGACGCAGTCTTGTTCAATAGACAAGTGATGAAATGAAAAAAAAGTAATTGAGACTATCCTAATGGGATTTAGACTGATATTATGCTTAAATGGAAGCAAAAACAAACAATGATAAGTCAGTTTTGAGATAATTAGAAAGACTGATCTGAAAACAGATCCATAAAATAAACTTTGACGTCTGAGTAAGGTTTGAAAAGTTTGCTTGTCAGCTAATTATCACCTTCATAGTCATAATTGAAAATAAATTTCCTGGTAGCTCCTCACTTATATGAGAAACAAGTTTTGTGATTTTTTTATTGATCACATTTGAACTAAAATGTAATCGCCAACATCTCACCAATATGAGCCCTTGTTTTTCCTGTCAATTAGCTCTACGCATAATGCATGGACAAGTGATCTGACTATTGGAACATGAAATAGGATGACGAAATGGAAATACAGAGAATGAGAAACATGAAAAAAAGATTCTTTTGAGAAAAAACAAGAGACCCTGGCCTTTTTTGCTTCGAAACTTGTTTTAAAAAACCTTCACTAGAGAGTTGGGTTCTTCTCAGACATTTTTTTAGTCTGTTGTTCAGTCTTTACACTTTTTCGAATGATATACCTTTTGTTATGTCTGGACGAAATCAAAAACTTGAAAAAGGTTGATGTGTTAAGTATAATTCATATCTATGGTGAAATTTTCAGCGCTTGATTATATCATAAGTGCAATGTGATTTTAAGGATGCCATAAAAAGCTTTATGATGAAGTTTCGTAAGCGTTGGTCACGGAAAGTTTTTATCTACTCGACGCTCGCGACTCTCGTTCTTACAGCCCAACACTTATTTCCGGAGCAGACAAGTGTGCGTGTTATGACGCATGCATCGATGAACCGAAGTATTGAGTTTCTTGCATTTCTGTCGGTGACACCAGCTCAAATATTTGCTCAAACGCTTTCTTCTTCTTGTCACCCATATTCTGTAATTGACAATCGATCGTTCTTTGAACGTGAACCACCACAGATGCATTTACCTCGACGTGCATCGAATTCTTCTCGCTATAATCTTCTGAAAACTCTTCGTTCATTACGACTAGTTGTTGTTGCTTGTGCACACAATGTGGAAAAAGACATTCCAAAGTTTCGTTCGCATGTGAAACGAATCATTCATGTATTTCATCCATCTTCACGTATTCTCATCTTCGAAAGTGATTCAACCGACAATACACTTGCTATTCTTCGGCGATGGTCTAATGCTCAGATCTATACAGGAGGCCGTCTAAAAGCAACCATTTTATCTCGTAGCGAACGTATTGCTTATTGTCGCAATGCACTTCTCGAAAAAGCTCGCACGCTAAAGCCCGATTATCTTCTGATGCTCGATTTGGATATATTTGCTGGCAGTCTTTCAGCATTTTTCACAAATTTCGACTATAAGACAGAAGACTGGTCTGCAATGACAGCAAACGTAGGCGGCGACTATTATGATATTTGGGCACTACGCACACTGTCCGATTTCAACCTTAACTATGATGTATGGCAACGAGTGTCGGCATTAATTCGTTCACCGTTGAATTATTGTGGAGAATCGGTTATTGATAAAGTGATTGGCATTCATCAAAAGCACATACCTATCTCACGTGGTCTATTAGAAGTGCGTTCAGCATTTTCTGGCGCCGCTTTGTACAAAATGAATTCAACTGAAAATTGCTGGTATTCTGGAGCAAATGCAACGAGCGAGCATGTACACTTTCACTTATGCATTCGCAAAAAGAACCGAGCTCGAATATTTATCAATTCACGATTTCGTATTTGTTTTCGCCATCCTTAATTAAAATTATGAGTACTATGTCCTAATCTGTTTTCTTTGCTGAAATAGTAGACGCTGAAATCTACCGAAACTAGATGAGGTTCATAGTAGTTGTGTGGTTTTATTACTCGGAAATTGTTTAGAGCACAATATTTGTAGCAGTTCGAGGCGAGAAGCTTCTCAATGAAACAGAGCTGGAACCAGTTGGAATTTTACTTTACTTGGTATCGATATAAATCCTTTTTCACCTTTTCAAATCTATTACAAGGTGTGGGTGTTGGTGTGAGTATGATCATGAAAAGAACAACACTTACACCCATGCCCTCAAAAGAATGATCGACCAGGTGAAAGAGAACACCTGCAAAATCAATCTTAGTGGAATACTCGTAAATAGCCTGAGATTTGCGGGTGACATCAACGTCATAGATGAAGACTGTAGCTCCCTTCAAAAGCAAATCGAGCTAACTAGAATAGTCGCCGAACAAGCAGAAATCATTGTAAACACAACAAAAACCAAAACCATAATATTTGGAGACAGAAATATCAAACAAGTCATATAGATAGAAGAAAAAAATATAGAAAATGTCGAAAAATTCGAATACCTAGGAAGGCTGATAACATGAGACAACAATTGCTCAGAAGAAATCAGAAGGAGAATAGGCAAAGCAGCAAGAGCAATTGCTTCCCTAAAAAACATATAGGACAGCAAGAAAATGACAGTAGAAAACAAACTCACGGTTTTGACAACATGCGTCTTCAGCGTGCCGCTAAATACCTCAGAAACATGAACACTAAAGAAGGTTGATACAAAGAAATTATTCGCATTCGAGATGAAATGCTACCGACGCATATTAAGAATTAGTTGGAAAGACACGATAAGAAATGAGGATATAAGAGAGAAAATATCGAATGAAGAAACCATAGTAGACCTAATAAGGAAAAAGAAATTAAGAGCATTGGGCCATATCTGTAGAATGGACGATAATAGACTGATCAAACGTACAATGTTCGCAAAAATAGATGGAAAATCCCGCAGAGGACGTCCATGAAGTGAGTGGCTGGACGTTATCGTAGAATGGTGTTGAAGCAGCGAACAAGACCTGTTTTACTTAGCACAAGATTGACGGACATGGAAGAAACTAATCCGAATATTGGTTGGCTCCAACGGGCGATAAGGCTACGGGACATCATGCATCGTAAAACAGCTCCAAATCTTGAAAATGAAAAGGGAACTTGACTCTACTTTTGTTACTTGTAAAAGACTGTGGTGTGCGTAACTCACATGTACACGTTAACACAGGTGGCTGGAACATCTTTGTCGCTACAACAAGAAAGAACAATGATCTCTACTCATCTTTAACAGATAAAGTGTCACGTGTCTATTAGTTAAAGAAAATAATCGTTGACAAATGAAACTTATGAATGATTAATAATATAAGTAATTTTTTTACGTGTTTCTATATACAAAAGCATAGCTAGAAAAGCAATGTGTGATTTACAAGCGTATACAAAAAAAATACAAAACACGTTGAGCGTACATATCTAACAAGAAAACTGTCTCCTCCTTTCGATATTTGTCTCCATCTAGATGTGTACTGTATTACAATTTGGTCAGATAGTAAATTCAAGTTAAAAGTAAAGGAAAAACAAGTTGTCTGTAGTCGTTTCTTGAATTCGTATATACTTTCACATGAAATTATGATAGTTTGACATTATCAAAGCATTTATCTCATCGAATCGATCCATTTTATCACTTTTTTTCAGCATCGGTGCCAGATTGATGTTCTGTAGAGCTACTAAATTCGCAATTGCTCAGATCAAGTGATTTTAACCGACACAACGATATCTTGAGCAGCAATATCAAATGATTATTTCTCGAAGCATGATATACAAAAAACACGATTCCGACACATCAACAAACATTGTTCTTTGTAAAATTCCTTTTCACTTCTAGCACGAATAAAAGTTTTTCAAAAACAAAGTGGTTGTTGATATAAAAACGCATTTATCGAGAGCATACTCTTGATGCACAATCAAGCACCCGAAAAAGAAGTATGCGATTAACATTCATGAGAAAACATTCTTTTTCAAATGAAATTTGCATAGGTACAATGGCATTGAAATTCAGTTATTTTAGGTCTTTTCAAGAGTTTCATAATATATCATACCGGAACATGATTATGGGATATTATTATAATAATAGCACTCTTATCTTAAATTATTTCATACTCATTTGAGTATATGTGTGAATGATATGAAGAATAGCATCCACACTCACCCTTCATTAAAGATATTCTTACGATAGTGCCTCGCTAGTAAGAATTGGATTTCTAAGGATTTCGCCAAAAATGTATTTTGAGATGTGCGACACAATCATTCTATGCAATAATCTCCATATAGTGACTTAGTGTTAGTAAACTTTTCACTTGAGTTTTATTATCTTTATGTATTACGCTCAAGCTCTTCACAAAGACTACCGTGAGAAAAAAACAAATCAAGTCTACAGAACCTTTTAGAAATATAAAACATTTTGTCTTTTATTCGAGTACATAACCACCTAAACGTAGCTGGCAGCTACTTGTGCACATTTTAGCTGGATTGATAAAACTTTTACCCTACTTTAGTGTTCCATCAGATGGACATTTTTTTTATCGTGACGAAAGCGATAAATGAGACACTGTTGGAGTCAGGAAATCATTAGTGGCAAAGCGGTGCCCTAGAATCTTGAGAAAATCTATGCATATATAGTATCAATGATAGCAATTACTACTTTTGTCTTTCTTCTGGTGGTAATGGGGACAGGAGCATCCAGCCTAGCCCACTCTTGTTTGTAGCACTACGATGAAATCAGAATTAAGAATTTTCAATCAACATTATCTTGGTAGGATTCGATAGTCAATTTATATAGCATTCAATAGAACATTGAATTTTGAACATACATTTATAAATGGCTTAGATTTAAAATTAAAACAATGATTATAAAAAGTATAACATGTCTGATGGCTACTTTTTTATTACGTAATTCATACGGATATAACGTGAAAGGCCAATTAAAACCTTTTGTTGTATCAGAAGAAACATCTGACATAAATGCATTTTCTTTTCTCTCTCTCCATTTCTGTTCTATCATGAGAATGATAATTTCTGTCCTTCGTTAATCTCCGCTCTATTTAAACAGTTGGCATTGGTTGCAGGAGAGAGCTTCTTCGATTTAAAAAAATGAAACAAAAAGTAGAAAGAAAATGCATCAAGAGAAAAAAGAACAACGACAACTTAAGGCAAACGAATAATCTACTCTTTCTTTTACAGGAAAAAAAGCCAAAAAGAAATCAATAAATAGAGTAAATGTTAATATTTCAAGTATTAATATAAATATGTTACCCACTAAAAATAAAAAAAAAACATATTAGTTATAATATCATTCACACATTGATAAAAATAATTAAGCAAAATCGATGAAGTCTTCTAAGTGATGTTTAAATTCTTCATATGCATCATCTTAAGTACATAATTCTTTTCATTTCGTTAATGGATTCTATTAAAAAAAACAGCTTTTATGTTATTATCATGAACAAAACTATCAGCAGTTCATTTTGTTTAGTCTTCAATATTGCTAATTTTTGAAATATTCCTAAAAACAAACCATTGAAGACTATGTTTGACGATAAAATCTCTATAGATTCAACCAATCGAAGATGAATATAGATGTCACGTTTTTAATAATTCAAACAATTTCTATTTTTTATTTTTAAATCTTTTTCAAAATATATTTCATTAAAAATAAAAAATCTAATTATAAGTTATTGTTATATTATAGAGGGTGTGGGTGTGGGTGTGGGTGTGGGTGTTGATCTGAATATTTTTTCAACACACCCACACCCCACTGTGGGGAACCAGGCGGACATGACCTCAAGTTGTATTTTCCAAAGTCTAAATAATGGAATGAATACTTCTATGGTTAGTCTATCTTACCCTAAAACTAGATTTTCAGAAATCAAGTCACACGCTAGGAAAGTCCATCGTCAAAAAGATTGTTGATAAATCGGTAATTATACGGATACCATTTTTTTTGTCAGCTTATCAAAGTATTTTAAAATGAAAAACTATTTGGAACGAAGGATTGATCTATGAGCTTTATTGTGTGAAAAAATTATTTCGTTTGAACCAGAAATGGAATAGAAAAAAACTAACTACTGGGCCGAAAGTGGGTCGAAAAATCGGTCATACCGTATTTTGTGGACGCTACAAAGAGTTTTAATCCAATTGAGCTGAAATTTTCACCGATTATTCTCCCACGTTTAATGTATCGTTGGTCATAGCGCCGTATTGAAATAATGAACACAGGCCGAGTTAGAGGTATTCCAAAAAACCAGGTTTCTGCCCCGGAATCGCTAGTTTTGCGAATATGAGAACATTTTGACGCAAAACCAAGGTGATATTCAAAATCAGCTCGTCGAGCTGCATCGAATCATATACAACAGTATGTGCTTCTGAGAAAAAAAGTCGGTTCCTAGGAACCGACAAGGTTTCGAAAACCAGCCTTTCCGTATTTTGTAAACGCTACAAAGCGTTTCAGTCCGATTGACCTCAAACTTTTCCTGATTGTTCTTTCATGTCTGGTGCGTTGTTCACCATAGCGCCATCTCGCGCCGATGAGCATAGGCGGCGCTACGAGTTTCTCAAAAACCTAGGTTTTTGGCCCTAAATTCCTGTTTTTCACAATAAGCCATCGTTTTGATTGAAAACCAAGGTGATATTCGGAATCAGCTCATCGAGCTGCATCTAACGATATATAATAAAAAGCCGTTTTTTCGAAAAATTGTTTTTGACCTTTATTAAGGAAAAGCTTAAAAACCTAAGTCATCTCGTGTTTTTTGAACGCTACAAACAGTTTTCGTCTGATTGAGCTCAAGTTCTTATTAATTGTATACTTCCATGTTAGTTTATCGTCGGCTATGTGTGTCGTATCGCATCAGTGTCCGTAGACTGGACAATGGATTTCCAAAAAACCATGATTCTCG